ATCATGCATTAATTTTGAAAATGATCAACATTCTCCAACAATGCACAGACTAGGAAAGACGCTTGATACACAATCATCCGACCGGTTTAAAATGTTCCATTTACCTTTTCCGTGTCTTTGCTAAAATACCAAACAGGTGAAATTACTGCAGCCATTTGTTCTTTGAATACCTGCAACCAGTTAATTTAAAGCTCTTGCTCTTTGATTGTTACTTATACGGTGTTGCAAAATTTACAATATTTGCCATCCTCTTCCTCATTTAAACCCGATCCAGCTTAATCTAGCAGCAAGTCTTACAATTCAAAAGTCAGAACGTCTGGGATCTATTGTTGGATCCTTTAAAAGATTGGATTCAGTCCAATGATGTCAGTGGGAAGGGGGTGGGGGGGAGGAATCTGCATTTGGGGAGTTGCACTTGATGCAAATTAGGTGAAGATTAAAATCTTGAAACAATGTGCTACAGGATCTAACAGATGTAACTTGGAAACGGGGAAATTGCACTTTACCTTTTCAATCTGTGGAAGTGCTGTAAAGTGCTGTAAAGTAGCGAGGTCACGAATACCTAAGGACGATTCAACCGCAGCCTGCTCCTCTCTGCTAGGGCGAACTCCCAGATCTGCTGCGTTTACACCGCAGCTGTCCTCACACACCTCAACAACCCTGCTGTCCAGACACAAAGGCCAATGCTTATGCTGCACAGTGATGTCATATCACTTGTGTGTGGGGGGGCCTTTATTGCCTGGACTCAAGTGGCAGAAACGTAAAAAAACAACAAACGACAACATCAAATTACATCTGTATAACCCTTTCACGTCGGGAGGACGTCCCAAGGCGCTGGACGGTCAGGGATTTGGGCCTGAGCAGGGGGTTGGGATCAGGAGGGATGGAGGGCAGGGAGGTAGGGGTAGGAGGGTGGCCAAAGCCCGGTTAAAGACATATTCAAGTGTTCACAATTGTGTTTACACGCTGATATCTTATATAAAACCCAAGAGCGAACTTTAGAACACAGAGCAAACTATTCACGCCACCTAACCTTTCACTTTACAGCTATATCCATACTCCAAGCTCACTGTGGATCAAGTCTCCTGCAGTTTTATAAAATGCACTATTTGGCTTTAAAGACTGCTGAGTCTTGCTGCATCACTTGCCGTGCTCCAGCACCACCTCACACAAGTGATGCTCTATGTAAACTGTACTGTGAGACTTTATGAATCGAGCGCAATTAAAATCCCTGAAGAGAAAGGAAAGCCGTAATAATAAATAACAAGTACTTTGAGGTGTCGTGGAAATAAATAAAGATATAAAGAAATGCCGTTCTGCTTTCTGAAGGTATTGGAAAGACCAATGACACTCAACCTTGTGATAATTGTTACATTATTACATGTATGAAATTTGCTCAAAGCATTTGAAAATGCAAATTTCTAAATAGCTTAAACTACCAATCTTCCAAATACCTTCACGGCAACAATGCTCACTCCAACGCATACAGTATTTCCTGATACAATACCCAACAACACCTCCTGCTTTCAGATTCAATCCAAAAAGTGCGAAGGATCATTGCCTCTGAGAAATCGCGTCCGGTAAATGTTCTTAGTTCAATTTGGATCGTACATAAGAAGCCACATGTTGGTCGTCTACTAACACAGTATCTCTGACCCAGTGGAAATGATTTGACTCGTATGAAAGGCATTCACCAAAATGCAAGGATTATTATCATGATAACCTGAGGCATTAGGGATCATTCACTTCTTATAGGAGAATTCAAGGAGCCTGCAGAATCCGCAGAAAGGGTCTGCCCAAGTGAAAAGGATGGCTGAGTTATTTCAAACTGGTTTCACAAGTTCTATATTCCTGCCAGATGTTTTCGTATTTCACTTGCAGTACAGGTCTGTATCCTGCTCAGTGACTTGCAACAAGGTGTCAGTGTCAAATTAATAAAGTTGTGGTAATTGGTCAAGCATAAAGCTTTAGAAATCAGGAAGCAAAGCTCTCTGAAGGGTCTTAACTATGTTCAGTAAACTTTAGCGACATGACTTCAGATCATGGGTTCAACATAAAGACAACAATGCCATATAATTAAATATACCTGCTGCCATAATAAAGTGCTGCTCCATTGATCTATGCAAATATTAGCTTGTCAACACTCAGACTATGGTTCAGAGATGAAAAACAACTATCTGAATGAGTTATCACCTTCTACACCTGAAACTGAAGGCAAAATGAGTCAGGAGAGAAAACAGGTGAGAAGAAGAGAAAATAGGTGGAATTGACAGAAATGCTAATTTTAGGAATAGAACAAATCCACAGCCTGACTTGAACTGAAAGGTGATTATTTTCCTGATCTTGAGAATCGGGTCATTGCACAATCAACAGAGGTCAGAGAATAGGAATTCATGTTTACATTTTTTGTTGGTAGAAAGAGGACTACCTTATTTAAATGAATAACAATAACTCCACTGTAGTGCCTAAATGTAAGGTTCCCACTATTTGCATATTCGATAGAGCTAAGGTTGGGTTGGGTTCCTGAGATCTGCTGTTCACCGCAATAACCTTCACCACATATAAAATATTGAAATACTACGGGTGAAAAATAAACATGTACACTCGATGCCCGTTTTGGAGACGGAGAAGCCTCCCTAAACTTATCAGAAGCTCGTTTAAAAATTACCTTTCAAGTGCATCAATTCACATACAACATATTGCGCATTCTCTTCGAGGGGAAAGGGGGAAATATCTTGCTCCTGTTTGATTTGCTCTCGTGTTTTGCTTTGGCCAAAAAAAAGAGAGAGAAGCGCTCACAGGACCGATCTGTCTGGAATCGCTTCACAACCGATGCTCCTGGGGACGAACCAACTCTTGTTTCTCTTCCGCTCTTGTGGGTTGCTTTGTGATTGCGTAAGTGCCGTCAATATCAGGTTCACATTACAACAGGCGTGTTTGTTGCCTGTTCCTTGCACAAACACAACAACACATTCTTCTTCTAAGTGTTGAGACCAGATCTCCCAGCCCCACCATCGTGGGAAAATCTCCACAGATTCCTATTTCTATTTAGAAACCCTTTTTCAACCATGGCTCGTCTTGGCTAATTCCCCTTTTACCTTTGTAACCAAGTAAACTATACGATGTCACTCCAGGCAGAGGTTCCCCACATGCAGTCTGTGAGTTTGCCTGAGGGTTTTTTTTAAATATATATTGCTGTGACACTGCAACTTAGGTATTGACTTAAAATAAACGGATGTTACCCGGAAATATATCATTGGTCTCTATCAGGGAAATAAAACACGATACCGGCTCAGCTATCATGAACCCCGACTACACAGTAAAACTTACTTTAAAAGAAATTATTATTTTTATTTGAGGAATTGTTGACTGTTCCCCTGATTGTTTCACAGGAGTCGAGAGCGATGCTTATTTCAGTTTGTTATTAGATCATCTTTTCAGTGTGTGAACCACTAACAACCCCCTTTTGGTACAATCCACACCATATTATATCTTCATTTCATTGTTATCGCAATAGACATTTTCCAGTAAGTTCCTTGATTTGGACACAGGTCAATTTCAACCTGCGAGCAAGACACCACACACACACACACACACACACACAGGGACACACAGGGACACACACACACACACACAGGGACACACACACACACACACACACCACACCACAGGGACACACACGCACATACGCACAGGGACACACACACAGGGACACACACAACCACAGGGACACACACACACACACCAGGGCACACACACACACACAGGGACACATACACACACACCAGGGCACACACACACACACACAGGGCCACACAGGGACACACACACACACACAGGGACACACACACACAGGGACACACACACACACACAGGGACACACACACACAGACACACACACACACACACAGGGACACACACACACACCAGGACACCACGACACACCACACACAGGGACACACACACACACACAGGGACACACACACACAGACACACACAGGGACACACACACACACACAGGGACACACACACACACAGGGACACACACACACACACACACACAGGGACACACACACACACACAGACACACACACACACACAGGGACACACACACACACACACAGGGACACACACACACACACAGGGACACACACACACACACAGGGACACACACACACAGGGACACACACACACAGGGACACCACTCATACACACTCAGGGACACACACAGATACCACACACACACACAGGGACACACACACACAGGGACACACACACACACACAGGGACACACACACACACACACAGGGACACACACACACACACACAAGGGACATACACACACACAGGGACACACACAGGGACACACACACACAGGGACACACACACACACACAGGGACACACACACACACACACAGGGACACACACACACACACAGGGACACACACACACCACACACGGGACACACACACCACACACACACAGGGACACACACACACACAGGGCACACACACAGGGACGGGACACACCACACACACAGGGACACACACACACACACACAGGGACACACACACACAGGGACACACACACACACAGGGACACACACACACACACAGGGACACACACACACACACACACAGGGACACACACACACACACAGGGACACACACACACACACACACAGGGACACACACACACACAACACAGGGACACACACACACACAGGGACACACACACACACAGGGACACACACACACACAGGGACACACACACACACACACAGGGACACACCACACACACACAGGGACACACACACACCAGGGACACACACACCACACACACACACAGGGACACACACACACACACACACACACAGGGACACACACACACACACACAGGGACACACACACACACAGGGACACACACACACACACAGGGACACACACACACCCACACACAGGGACACACACCCACACACACGGGGACACACAGATCTCACCTTTCCCCCAGTGGCTGTGGGGCTGTGACGGCCGCCGGTGGTGTCTGTTCGGGTCGCGGCGATCACGGGAGGGGGAGGGGGAGGGTCCAGGGGTGGGGAGGGGAGGGGTCCCGGGGAGGGGGAGGGGTCCCGTGTCGGTCCTCTCCGCCGATGGTGAAACCCGGCGCGGGGACGGCGGTGAACCGTCAGAGATCACGAAGAGAGCAGCGAACAGGACAGGAAACCCCGGGGGGGGGGAGGGGGGGAGGGGCGGCGCTCACTCACTCACTCACTCTCCGCTCAAACCTCCCGTGGTTTGGCGGCTCAGGGCGGACCCGCGGGCGGTCAGGAGCGGCGGCGGCGGCCCCCACCCCCGGTACACCCCCCCCACCCCCACCCCCCCGGTACACCCCCCACCCCCACCCCCCGGTACACCCCCACCCCCACCCCCGGTACAACCCCCCCACCCCCACCCCCCGGTACACCCCCCCCACCCCCCTCCCGGTACACCCCCCACCCCACCCCCCGGTACACCCCCCCCACCCCCACCCCCCGGTCACCCCACCCCCACCCCCGGTACACATCCCCCCCCCCCACCACACACCCCCTATACACCACCACACCCTATACACCACCACACCCCCTATACACCACCACACCCCTATACACCACCCACCACACACCCCTATACAACCACCACACACCCCCTATACACCACCACCACACACCCCCTATTCACCACCACCACACACCATATACCCCACCACACACCCCTATACCCCACCCACACCCCCTATACACACCCCACCACACCCTCTATACACCACCACCACACACCCCCTATACATCACCACCACACACCCTATACACCACCACACACCCCCTATACCCCACCACACACCCCTATTCACCACCACCACACACCCATATACCCACCACACACCCCTGTACCCACCACCACACCCCCTATAACACCACACACACCCCCTATACACCACCACACACCCCCTATACACCACCACACACCCCCTATACACACCCCACCACACCCCCTATACACACCCCACCACACCCCCTATACATCACCACCACACACCCTATACACCACCACACACCCCCTATACCCCACCACACACCCCCTATACACCACCACACACCCCCTATACACCACCACACCCCCCCTATACACCACCACCACACACCCCCTATACCCCACCACACACCCCCTATACACCACCACCACACACCCCCTATACACACCACCACACACCCTATACACCACCACACACACCCCCTATACCCCACCACACACCCCTATACCCACCACACACCCCCTATTCACCACCACCACACACCCCATATACCCACCACACACCCCCTATAACCCCACCACACACCCCCTATACACACCCCACCACACCCCCTATACACCACCACCACACACCCCCTATACACACCCCACCACACCCCCTATACACACCCATCACACACCCCTATACACACCCCACCACACCCCTATACACCACCACACACCCCTATACACACCCCACCACACACCCCTATACCCCACCACACACCCCACCACACCCCCTATACACACCCCATCACACCCCCTATACACACCCCATTACACACCCCCTATACACACCACACCACACACCCCTATACACACCCCACCACACACCCCCTATACACACCCCACCACACACCCCCTATACACACCACCACCACACACCCCTATACACCACCACCACACACACCCTATACCCCACCACCACACACCCCCTATACCCACCACACACCCCTATACCCACCACACACCCCTATACACCACCACACACCCCTATACCCCACCACACACCCCTATACACCACCACCACACACCCCTATACACACCACCACCACACACCCCCTATACACCACCACACACCCTATACACCACCACCACACACCCCCTATACCCCACCACACACCCCCTATACCCACCACACACCCCTATACACCACCACACACCCCCCTATACACTACACACACCCCTATACACCACCACCACCACACACCCCTATACCCCACCACACCCCCCTATACGCCACCGCCACACCCCCTATACACCACCACACACCCTATACACCACCACACACCTATACACCACCACCACACACCCCCTATACACCACCACACACCCCCTATTCACCACCACCACACACCCCATATACCCACCACACCCCCTATACACCACCACCACACACCTATACACCACCTCACACCCCCTATACACACTCCCTATACACCACCACACCCTCCCACTATACACACCCCACCACACCCCCCCTATACGCCACACCACACCCCCCTTATACACACCCCACCACACCCCCCTATACACACCGCTTTGGGAACAGAGTTTGTCAGTTGTTTTTTATTGAAAAAAAGTGTTATGAGTGAACATACCAGGGCTGCAATCCTCTATATTGCACAATTGGCTGCTCCGCTCACCCACAAAACACACATCTCACTTTACGATATATCCTGAGAAGCACTTTGGGACATCCTTCCGACGTGAAACGGACTGCATCAAATATAAGGATAGTTATATTGTTATATGTTTGAACCTTGGATCCATCTCCTGGACATTATTTCTGTCAAGAGTGTGATGTATTCTGGAGGGATGTTGTCACTAACTGCAGACAAGGCCTTCGCTAGTAAACTATTATCCATAAGTTGCAGGAATCATTGTGGGCGCATTACAGTTCCTGGCAAGTCACTTTCTCAAAGTCACTTCATTTAATCCAAGGGGCAGTTTGTCAGTTGTCATGTTAAAATGACACTTAAAAAAAAGATTTATTATATCCTGGAGCTAAATCTGTTTCAATTCTGTGCAATATTTCACCCCTTTCATGTTCTTTTTATAAATGTCTGTCGGGAATAGTTTCTGTTCCATTGTCCATTGACTTCAGTCTAACTGTAGTTTATCAGTCTATAGAGAACGGTGAAACGTTTTCCGAAGCTTCTCCAGATAGTCTTTAGTGATTTAGGTGTCAAAGGTGTGACAACGGTTTTTGGATCATTAAATCCAGTATTTCCTCGTAGAATGTGTTTCAGTT